AAAAAAGTTCGAAAAACCCTGATCTAAATAGCCCCAGGTTTCACACTGATTGAGTATAAATAAACTGAGAAATTATATTTTAATTAAATACACTGTTCAGAGTGTCATTTTATCACATTTTTGGTTAGTGGTGTGCCGCAAAATTTTTCCAATGTAAAAAACGTGCCCTGGTTCAAAAAAGGTTGAAAAACACTGCCTTAGAGATATGGTGAGAAGCTCGGTCATCCGGGAGGGGCTCAGAGTCAAGCCACTTCTCCTCCATGTCGAGAGGAGCCAGATGAGGTGGCTCGGGCATCTGATGGAATCCTCCTGGACGCCCTGGTGAGGTGTTCCGGGCATGTCCCACCGGCAGGAGGCCCCAGGGACTACCCAGGACACGCTGCAGAGACCATGCCTCTCAGCTGGCATGGGAATGCCTTCGGATTCCCCGGGAAGAGCTGGAAGAAGTGGCTGGGGAGAGGGAAGTCTGAGCATCCCTGCTAAAGCTGATGCCCCGGTGACCCAAGCCTGGATAAGCGGTAGAAAATGGATGGGTGGATGGATGGATGGATGAACGTACAGTGATCCCTAGCTATATCACTGTGCATCTTGGCAGCCCCGCGCAGCAACCTCCCTCGTGTCTTATCACGTGGATTACTCTTTGATCAGTGTCTCATCACACGCCTGCCAAGACCAGTGTCTAGACCAGTGGTTCTTAACCCAGGTTCGATCGAACCTAAGGGGTTCGGTGAATCAGTCTCAGGGGTTCGTCGGAGCCTTTGCCATGGAGGTTAAGACAAATCCGACTGAACATGTCAATTACCGGTAGTTATGACTTGCCTGCTTGGTTCATTTTGTGCACAATTAAAAAACGTATACTTTATACTTAGACTAATTGTGTTTAATGTTTTCTGTTTTTAATAAATGCGTTTTTTTATGCCTTGAAACAAAACATTTTTTCACTAATGAAGGGTTCAGTCAATGTGCATATGAACTGGTTGGGTTCGGTACCTCTAACAAGGTTTAGAACCACTGGTCGAGACACACTTTTGTATTTCCTACATGTGTTAATGTGTGTGTGTGTGTCTGTGTGGCTAGGGGGAGGGGTGCACGAGGGAGAGAGACAGAGAGAGAGAGAGAGAGAGAGAGAGAGAGAGAGGGGGGGGGGTTGGGGTGATTGGATATGTCTGAAAAAAAGGAGCAGTTCCCTCCTTAATTGTCTTATCATAAACACATCGGCTGTGCGCCACGGGATAGCTGGCCAGCAGCTCGCTGGAGGCTAATGGAGGCTACACTGTCAGAGCGGCGTTAAGGCAATGCTGATGAATGTTAATTACTGTATAAGGTTTTATAATTAAAGATTTAAGTAAATATGTGTACTGATATAGTCTTTGTCTCAAATATGTGAAGTCTAAATACTGTTTACATATTTTAAACATGCTGGTACCCAAACCCTACTTCGCAGATTTTCATCTTTCGTGGGGGGTTCTGGTCCCCATTAATGACGATAATTGAGGGATCACTGTAAGGTAATAAATACATGTAATACAAAAACAACATATTTTTAACTATTTACACAAAAAAAGGTTAATCTCCTGTGTGGACCTCTCATCGGTCTACCACCCCCTCGCCCCTACTCTTTCCCGAGAACTGTATTTTGTTCTAATCACTTATGGCCAGACTACCCTGAGAACGCCCAATCTTGTCCGATCTCGGAAGCAAAGCAGGGTCGGACCTGGTTCGTATTCGGATGGGAGACCGCCTGGGAATACCAGGTGCTGTAAGCTTTTGCACCCACATGCACACATAGATGCGCTTTCAGGCGGCCCGGTAGTCCAGTGGTCAGCGCGTCGACCTCACAGTACAGAGGTACCGGGTTCAATTCCAGCTCCGGCCTTCCTGTGTGGAGTTTGCATGTTCTCCCCTTGCCTGCGTGGGTTTCCTCCGGGTAGTTCGGTTTCCTCCCACATTCCAAAAACATGCATGGCAGGCAGATTGAACACTCTAAATTGTCCCTAGGTGTGAGTGTGAGCGCGGATGGTTGTTCGTCTCTGTGTCCCCCGCCTACTGCCTCAAGACAGCTGGAA